ATGACTTTATGTTGGCAAAGTAATATTTTGGGTTGGATTATCTTTGATCGATTTCAATAATCTGCATTCCTTTACAGAAGGTACTGTGACGGCTTTAAAGTATCGGTAATTGATCTTATTGCGAGACTGAACGGAATTTATATATTGAAGTTAAAAAAATATTTGTTTTCTGTTTATTGATGTTCTAGAAAGAATATTCTTTAAATTTATATATGAGAATGCGAGATTTCTCGACTTGCTTGGAAGAATTATGCTATAATGTCGTAAATAAAATCGTCTTTATTTGAGAATATTTGATATGTAATGTTTCTTTATTAAAAGCTTGTAGAGCCTGGGTCCCAGAGGTAGATAGTTTAGCAGAAAATTTGGGTAATTATCGGATTGAATTTTATTAGATAGTCTTTAGAAAATTACTTCTAATGGTAAAATAAACAACTGAACAGGGTTATATGCTGGTAGTTTCTGTAAAAAGATGCAACATTATATATTGTTACAAGATTTCAAACCTTAACCATCTTCTGTATAATTTTTACTCAGGGATCAGGTATCTTCAGTAACTTTTGTCCTTAAAGATTATATCTATGAATATGCTAAAAATGCAACCTAAAAATGGATGTTCTCAAATCGGAACATGGCTTAAAAATTACATAATAAGCACTCAGAACACGGCATTTAAGTAGCGGATATTTAAAAGGAGAACCATATTTAGACGTAAAACCGTATTTTGTAAATAAATGGATTTTTTTATGGGAGTTAAAATTGCGTATCACCAATGAGAATATCACAGAAACAATTTCATAATTAAAAGGAGAAATGTAGCATTTAAATAGAAAGCATAGAAGAAACTGGAATTTCAGTAGAAAACCGTATTTCGTATATAGGAAATAAATACAGAAAACACGCTATTTAGAAATTATGAATGGTAGTTGGAAATGGGTTCGATAGGGCAAGAAGTAAGTGCGAGCTAAAAATAGGTCTTTCTGAAAATTGAACTTGTCCAGAAAAACTATAAGCTTACCAAAAGTTAAGTACGCTATACAACAGCAGATGAAACTCGCTGTGGCTGTAAACGAGAATATGTAAATATCATATAATGTGATCAATTATAAATTTTTTACTGCGGAGATTAAAATTAGGCATTGATTGAAGACTCCGCCTTTGCGAAGCGTTTGAGCAGATGAATTTAATTGCTGACACAGAAGTTTTGGAGGAGTATTATGGTTACGGTTTTGATTAAATAAGATAAATAATGGCTCAAAGAAGACGATGGATGATTCTCAACACTGGCCTTCTGTCATTTAGCTTGAAGCAGATTAGTCTATCAACGATGTTATTTTCTTTAATTTCGGCTATACTGTAAATTTATTGCCTATAGAAACAATTTCGTCCATAATTTTTCAGTAAATTATCCGGAGACTTTTTATTGTCATATAAGTACTCATATGTTAAGTAAATTATTTTGGCCATATATATGGGCTTAACCAAGCGGAGTAGAGGAATGTCTGAATTAACTCCAAAAAGCAGTGGCCGCTATAACAACTGAAAAAAAAAACAATATCTGAAACTACTCTGCACATAAAAGACTATATAAATTGTATGTGCGGTTACCAGTAGTTTATGTCTCTGTAAGCACCAACGGAACACGAAAGTGGAATCGTCAGAATGCAAATCGAAAACCAACTGAATGATCCAACGGACTTTTCACAAATGATTCGAGATTTGTTTTAGAATCCAATAAGCATGTGTGGTTCTGGACAGAAGAAACATAGAACAAGACTAGTAGTATTATATAGTATGACTTCATGTTGGCAGCGTAATATTTTGGGCTGGAATTTTTTTTTAGCTATCTCAATAGTCTGCACTTCTTTACCCGAAGAAACTATGACGGCTCTAAAGTGTCGGTAACTGATCTCATTGCGAGACTGTACCTTCCAGTAGTTGGTTTGGAATTTATTAATATCTTGATGCTCGATGATGAATCTTTATGATGGATTCGAGGACCGAAGCCTAATCTACCGATATGTCAATATTTTGGTATTTGACGTCCCTTAAGAAGAAGGCCAAATTTTCTCTACTCCTGGATGCTTTGTCTACACTGTAGTAGCTTTTACAGCAACATTTTTATTTAACTTCGTTTCCTGAAAAGCAATCACTTGAATGTTATTCATTTCTGCAATTTCTAGAAGTTTCTCAAGTTTAACCCTGGTTGCCTTAATATTCAATCTATTGATGTTGCATGGTAAAATTTTTAGGGTCTTCGAAATATGTGGGTCTGGTGACATTATTATTACATAAAAAGGCCCAGTGGCGCAGTAGCTAGCTCATTGTGTAGCAGCACCAGAGGTCCAGGGTTCGATTCACGGGCTGGGCAAAGTTGACTCAGCCTTTCATCTCTTGAGTGGGTCAATAAAATAAGTACGCTTGGAGACTAAACACTGGGAAGTGGGGTTCTGCGACATGTTGACCACTTGTCCAGGGCATATGCTCACGATCAAGGTAGCGATACTGCGGCACTGCAGGCAATGGCCCACTAGGGCTGTTGCGCCACTGAGTTTAGTTTAGAAATATGTGCGCCTCTAACTTAATTTTCGAACAACGCCTTCTGCCTAAAACTCGAGCGTTTTCCTGACTGATCCAGAACCACGGACGATGCAACATCAAAATCTTGAGTCAACGCATTCATGAGACGGAGGGAATATGCAGCTTCTGTTAGTCAAGGGACAAGAGCATCGAGTGATAAACCACTGACGTAGCTCATTTAGCTGGGCCTTTACGCCTTGGTTGGCCGTACCAGAAGTACACTGCATTTTTATTTTACATTTTTCCCTTTCATTTATCTGTTGATTTTAGATAGGCAAAAGCAATGGCCTTTACGCCTTGGGTGACAATACCAGAAGTAAAATACGGATATACTTTCACCTATTCTCGTCGTATCGAGTCATACTCTCGATACGACGAGGCAATCAACAGAATTAGGAAGGGGCCTGATTTTCTTATATAGTTTATTAAGGCTCCTCCTAGGGCCACATAAAGCAACTTCCTAATTCAGTTCCGTATCCGTTGTAAAACAGAACGTGTTGCAAGCTACGCTCCTGCCAATTCTGGTAATCTATAACTATTTGGCTTTGTGTTATATCGTTGCCTACATTTGAATTTGACACGCCGGCAGAGTTATTGAGCCAACTTAGAGTAGATTTAAAATTGTTCACGATGAACTTGAATTTGAGTGTTTCTGTTTAATTGTTTCACCAAGAGTTGTGGTTGCTATTGTTAACAAGCTCTAAGTTTTAAATTCGAAGTTATGTTTAAATAAAATGGTTTATTTAAACAGTTCGAAACGTTTGTAGTTACTTCAGAAGTAGCGGTAATTCGCTTCACGTCTTTTAGGGGTTTTGAAAGAATTAACTTCTACCAGATCAAAGAAAACCCCATAAATATAAAAATTAAAATTTAAGAGTAAAGAATTTTTCCTGACATTTTAAAGTTTTTCGAAATTTTTCCTCTGAAATTCGTTATTTCTTTTACTTTTGACTCAAAAGTAAAAAGCTCTTTTTGTTTCTACTGCTGTTAATTCTCATATTTTTCTTTCTTTATCCTTTTTTTAATACAAATTCAAGGAAGATAGATTTAATAGCTCTGCGAAACATTTTATTAAATTTGTAAAGTATTATGTTCTTTCTTATAACTTCATTCGAAATGTAACTGATAGAACGTCGGTTATCAACTGCAAGGTCCATAGCTCAAATCCCAGCAAGGGCACTGCACGCTTTTCACGTTTCTTGCTGCAAGATAAAATGCTTAATGGTGTCAACAATGGCATCCGAATTAAAAAGGTAATTCGTCGCCATTAGGATTTTGTGATTGAGTCTCTCCCCCACACTCTTTAAATGGAGGAGAAGATAAGGTGTTTTCTCCCTGCTTGCTGGGTGCGTTTGTGGTGAAATTGGAAGCACTTCCAGCGCTAGTAATCCGAAGATCTGGAAGTCACATCGTGGCGAGGGTTTTGTCCATTTTTCGTGTTTTCTGTTCTAAAATAAAATGCCTAATAGTCTGTGCAATCTAAAATGCATGAAATGTGTTATTAATTCAATCGAAAACATTTCAAATGATAATAATAACATTAATAACACGCTTTATTGAAAGTCTATATTAAATTTTTAAATTGGAATTTTGCGTTTTGACTCTTCGTTTGATTTATCAAAAATTTGGACTTATCAGTGTTATTTGTTAAAAGCTAGAACAAACTGAAATAGAAATCTTCCTCGTAAACTTAGTTTAATACAGTAGACTAGAATATTACTAGAATAAGATTCCTAGTAAACTTAGTTTAATTTTCCTAAAAAGGGTGTAATTTAATTCTATCGACAAAAATTTCTTTTCTCAAATATGCTCATAAGTGCTGTAAATTATTTCTATCAGCATAAAAAAAAATAAGATATAAGAAGAGCTATTTGAAATCTATATATTTCGACGCAGAATTAGAATAGCGATAAGATCTGTAATTTACGATGTTCGATAATGATATATAATTATCGTAATTACGTGCAAATTAATGCATACAAGGAGTGCGCTCACCACATTCGACTAAGAAATACCTGTAATTAATTGGCATATTAATAATACCGTAGTGATTTATTTCTGTCTGTATGCAGCATAATCAACATCGAATACTTCTATATAACACAACAGTTCTTATATTTTTTTCCAAGTATGGTTTAAATCTATTTTACTGGAATTTTGTGAAATCTAGGTTCAATAATTAAAAAATTCTCAATCAAACTTTAAAAAAATAGATCAAAACAGTTACTATATGAGACTTGTGATTGTCAATTTATTTAAACATTTTCTTTATCATTGTGTTATTCTATACTGTTATATCTTATAAAGATTAATTTAATTCGTTCTTATAAGATGATATGCATGATAAAATTAAAAAAAAATTAAGATATATGTTTTAATATATACTACTGTTTTCAGTAACAGAACACACAGAAGAAATGTAGCTAAATTTTTTTATTTTTGAACACATTATGATTAATATTCCAAAACGATAAGCATTATGTTCGTAATCAAACTTAGTATCTTCTTGTTCACATCTGGCCTGTACTGTTTGCTCTATATAATTTGGCAGTGAATTAAACAAAATTTTAATGGCATCGTGTGGAATAACCAAACTTCACTAATGCATCACATTTCATCTGAGTAAATTCCACACATTTTCCTTTTAAGCACATATCTAGGCAATCAGTGAAAAACTGGGCTATTGATAACTATGAAAAAGGCTTGCGTTTTTACTGCAATCGTAGAATTGGCATTGTCTTGCGAGAAAATTACCCCAAGGAAACTTTTCAAGTACAAAAGTGCGACTGGTCATTGTTAAATCTGAAGAAGGCTTACGTTGTTACTGCAGTAGTAGTAATGGCATTATCTTGCTGAAACGTTATCCGAGGTAGGCTTTACAAGTACGGAAGTGCGACTGATTGCAGAATGCAGTTAGCGTACTGAAATTCGTTATGATGGCTTGAACGTTTACGAAGGGTGATCTTAGTTTAATTACATCTCATACAAGTAGTAATCCGATATGATACGGTATGCCAGGTACAAATGCAGTCTTCTTGATGTACTTCAGCCATTGATATTGGACATACATATGCAATTTTCTTTTTCGCTTAAACAAAATCGTGATACATCGGAGAAAAGGATTTCATGCCACTCAATCTGCCATGCGGGACCTTTGATCCCCCAGTTACAGTCTGACTGTTCATTGCTGAGTTGTCATAAATAAAATGGAAAGCAACTGATGCATCTGCAATCCAGAGCACAGTAAACGACATGTTTTGCTAGATGATATTGGCGAATTTGCAGCCGTTCGCCATTCTGCACAATATTGTTTGTGACGCAGAGCACTTGGCCCGAGACATTCTGATGAGATGATGGTCTTCTCTAGGCTTTAGCTGCGTTTCGGCGTCCAAAACCTTCTCTTCGTGCCTTACGTTCTTCTTCCAACCAGTCTGTGCATAATCTTTCAATCATAAAAAAATTCAACCCAGCTTACCTGAGAATATCCTGGAAAGAAAGAATTGTGTGAAGCCAAAACTGTATTATTTTGTCAAAAGCGCGGATGTGAGCGCCATCGGTGTGGTGTCGTAATCCAGAGGTTTTAGAAGTTGGATTTGTTGGGCGGATCTTGGATACGATTATCTTACATAGTGTAGAAGCATCTTTATTCATAATTGAAGAATTTATAAAAATTAAATTGACTAAATGACTAAAATTGTAATTAACGATGATTAACTTTCTTATTGAGCCAGTACTCGCTTAGAAAAGAATCAGGGTTAATTTATATAAGAATTTTGAGATTTAGAAACATTACTCTGGAACTTATAGAATGATGCGATTGAAATGCTAATCTTTTTTTTTTTTTTCCTGTCTTGTCTACTTTGCATATTAAGAGCAAATAAATCTTGTAATTGCATTCTTTCTAGAATTTCTGTTTTTAGGAATAAAAACCGAATTAAGAAATTACTAAAATTTTGTGTTTTAAGAAATCAAAATGACTCCAGGAAATTTGATCGTAGATGCCTTCTTTATTGTAAATGTAGATTAAAAAAAACCATTTTCTTACTAGAATATTTTGTAAGAATCAAATGTTATTCGAATTTCTAGGGAAGAGTTGTTTGAAATCTATTCTACTACACTAAATCATATAATAAAACTTTTTTTTTTAATATCGTGTTCGCTTAAAAGTGTGAAAAGGTAATTGTGCGAATATACTGAAGAATATACATTCTGAAGTTTTGAAATTCTGCTGAATTATATTAACTCCAGAATTCTGATTTTGCAAAGAATCTTCCTGATTCTGAAGATGTCGCAGATATTTGGGAATCATTTCTGATTCTGAAGACATTCATCGGATAGAAATCATCCTGGTTTTTGAGATCTTATAGTGAGTAATATTTTCATTATATTACAAACATTTATTAGTGTTTTATGGGAATCATCTTATTCTGAAGACTTTAGCTGTGTCTATGTTTGCAGCATATAACGTAGTGCGTTGAGGTTTCGTCTAACGTGAAATTTATTGGATAGTTCAAGTATCTCGACTTGTACACTAAAGTAGCAACATATTCTAAGTTTTAAAAATACACAGCAAACGCTCTGTAAGACGACACTTGGGTTTCAGATGATTTTAGTTTTCCGCATAGTTAGTCGTCTTATGGAAATAATTTCAGTACTGGTGTGTGTTAATGTTCTCAAAAATACTTGCTCACTTTCAGAAATAATCGTCTTAGGGAAGTGGTCGCCAAAAGAAGGTTTACTGATTATATAAAAGTCTGACGCGTTTTCTCACAACGTAACGTTATACTAAAATAATTTTAATAGAATATATCACAGTTATGAAATCGTAATACATTTACGAATAACTGCTAAAATGAGGTATGTTTATGGAGTTGTTCTGCACCAAATTTTAATACTGTGGAAATAAGATTAACTTTATTACCAAAGCGGAATTATTGAGTGTCATTTTACTGTAGCTTATAAGATTTATACTTATTCTATTCGTAGTATTATGTTATACTGATTTTTAAATACTTGTATGGAATAGTACAATACAAGATCAAGAAGTATTTGCACTAAATTTGAATAGTGTAAGAAATAATATGGTCATCATCGCAGTTGTAGAATTTTTATTTCTAAGCGCTATTGCTGTAAAATTGACATCGATGTTATTTATACTGCCGAATAAATATTTGTTTTATAAAACCCGTGCAATTACAATTTGTGTTATTTATATACTGCTATTATAATACTGTGAGGACTTGTTACAATTTGAAAGTACCGTGAATTAATTTTAGTGCTATTAAAAATATGATCAGGGTTATAATTGTGAATTATTTTGCATAAATTTTCAGAGTTATAAAAAACAAGATTACAACTGCTATGAAGAGGAATTATGATGTATAAGTATTTAGTGTTATTAGCCCCAAGATAGTGTTATTGGCAACGGCCATAACTGTAGAGTTCTGATATAATAATTTTATTACTGATAAGAATAATGTTATCATTGTTTGAAATTTGTTATAATTACATATTATTCATATTTAAGTATAAAAGTTGGGTATAATTGACAATTTTATAGCTGAGAAAATAACATTCTTGGATTAAGGGGTAAAGATTGACCTCTACAATCTGGCTGTATAATTTAAAAGAATAATAAACTGAGTTTCTAGTTTCATTTAATTTATTGAGCTGAAATCCGACATTGAGAAACTTAAGCGTACGTGAAAAATTTAGTTAAGAACTTTTGGAGGCATAAAAATACAAGAACTGCAGAAGAAAATTTAAGGTGAAAAAGGAAAATAAGGCGACCTAAGGAAATAAAGGGATGTGATTTAAAAAAATCGACACTTGAGGAAATTATTAGATCATTGCCTAAAATATGGGCAACTTCACGGAATGTTCGTGAAAGATTTCATTATAAGTTATAAAGAATGTAAGAGAGTTGTTTTGGGTGGTAAAACAAAGAATTTGGGATATATTCTTGAGCATTACACTGTGTATTCTTTTTAAGATATTCCAAACTAGAAAATAGAGTTGAGTAATGTAGATGTTCTTGGCAGTGTATATGCTTGTGGCATAAGGTATTTCTCCCACTTTCCTAGCGTGCCCTTCGTGGTGTAGTGGTTCTGCACGCTGGGCCGGTATTCCAGGGGTCCGTGGTTCGATTTCCGGAGAAGGCGGTTGCTGTTTTTCATCTTTCCTGCTTCGAAAAGTATACTTAATGTCTCTACAGTGAAAAGGAAACGGAATGAATTTATCTTGATCTTGTTAGTAAAATAGAAGTAAATAGCTACTTGAAATACTTTTTACATGAAGGAAGTTAGACATTGAAATTATTTCTAAAAGTCAGCGGTAATAAAATTCTGATAATACTTTTAGCCGTTAAAGCTAAGAATGCTTTTCGCATATTACGTGACATCAAATACTGAAAGTATTTCTGAACAAATTATGAAGTGGATTGAGTTCCACAGAAATTCGCGAAAGTAAAATGGATTTTTGTTAGACTTCAGATTCGGAAGCTTTCAGAAACTGAAGTGTTGTTATCTTTAAAATCAGTTGGGATCTCTTGTGATGGGGAAACTAAAACACACCCCATACTCTTCCAATACTAGTCCGGGTGACTATGATCTCTTCGCTAAAAGGAAAGAACCGCTGCGAAAGATCCATTAGTATCCCGATAGTGAAAGAAAATATCCAAAATACTTAGGCAAAACAATAGTGTTTTCTGACAATGATAGATATCTTTTATTACTAAGATGCGTATTTAAACAAACAAAAGTAATACCTACCTTAGCTGTATTCCGTTGAAGTCGACGCTGGGGCATCCAAAGAAGTGAACGTGCTGATGGGTACGTGATGGCTTTCAGTAATTTGGTCAGAAAATGGCAAGCACAGCAGGCGATAACATTTAATGACATAAGTGCTTTTACTTACTATAGGAAATTTTTTTCCAAGCCATCGACGTGTTGCCATTACTTTTTATTACAATTTTTGCTTCATAATTCCAATGTATAATATTCGTACTGATTTATCTGTATCTATACGTCAAAGACATACTGTAACAGTGATGAATGCCTAAAATAGGTATTGCATTAGTAGAATAATGTAAAATATTACAGATCTGCAAATCTTACTGTAAATTAGCATCTATATTTTTCATTAAATTTAATTGCATATCTGTGAATGTACGTTATAAATTTGTGTAAACTAAACCAGATAAAGTCAATGAGTACAATAGAGCTTTTTCGTTTGTCACTGCTTCACTGCAGATAATACAAGCTTACGTGCGTTCAAGATAAACTATAAGTATTTTCCCCATAGTCTCAACAGCAGTATCCCTACATATGTAATTTGCATATGTAATTCCGTAAATATGAATCCTGACGAGTTTAGTCGGAGATCATAGTAAGATTTCCAGCAAGTGAACTCTTAAGGAATTGCAGGTTTTCACATTAAAGGTTATATAATTATTTTTTTATTATTTGATGAGTTTATAGATCTATACTACAACGCAGATGTAATTCAGAAAACATGAGATGAAAACAATTTTTGCAAATAGTAAAAATTATTGCTCAATATTGAAGTTTGAAAATTAAATATGGCAATAAACAAGATACAATTAGCATTCAAAGCGGCTTAAGTTGTAGCGTTCTATACGCGAAACACAGCATTACAAGAAGCTTTACCTACAAATGGATTTCTCCCAGCAATATTTTAAGAGCGAAATTCCTAGGCGAAACATACCTTTGACGATTAATTGCAGGTATGTACCCAAAACATTTTATAAGATCAGGGAAAATATTCCGCTTGTAACTAGCTCTCTTTCGTGTAATTTAACTAATACGATATCCTGAAAGCGAAAAATCCTGGAAATACCTTTTTAACGCTCAGGTGCAGATAGTTAGAAGGTCTGATACCAGATTTACCGTCCAAATCTCACTTCCGTTGTGACTAACGAGGAAGAATTTCTCCTTGTGTTTCGCGGAGCGGCACAGTTTGCTTAAATGCACCTCGTACAACTTTATCTCTAAATTCAGTTTATTTCAGTGGTAGAATTCAACAGCCCGAACCCTTTACATAAGAAACAATTTATCAATTAATATTTTATCAACGACGATGAAGGGGGACGAAAAGAGTACTTCAAAGTAATAACTGACTTCCAAAAATGCACTAAACGTGGCAGACTAACGATTAAAAATACTTTATAAATAAATATAATATTACCATAAAATATATATTAAATAAAGTAAAAATAAGTAAATAAGCAAATAAAAACAAGTATGGAACCCCTCCCCCCAAAAAAACCGCATTATAATCAATATACCACAGTACACTACTAACACAAACAAACAGTATTTCAGTTCGATACATAAATTTAACTAAAATAATCGATATATAATTACAATAGGATTGCTTCAACATATACGTGATACAAAATTAAACTTGCTTTTTTTTTTTTTTTTTTAACAAAAATAACATTTATTTTTGCCACCTAATGAACCCAATATTTTTCTATTTGCTCAAAATTAAAATTGAAAGGGAAGATAACAATTTGGAAGCATGTTGAATCCGGGTGTTTATTCTCTGCGGTTTTGGTCACCGGTGAAACAGAAATATATCGTTTTTCATTTCATGAACATTTTAACAGAATTATTATCATGCTCTCTAGCATAAAGCTTAATATCGTGGCAAATTCCTGCAATATAACCATCTCTGTTTTTAAAAATTGTTTTAATATTCACTATTAAGTATGAATATTCTTTAACGAACTGTCGGTATTATTAACTAGCGAAACCTTTTTATTAAAGAAAAGCAGAACATATGAAATTTGTCGAAATATAATGTGCTGTCAGTTCTTTCTTTCGACGCATATATGTAACCTATGCACAAATGCTGTCCAGCTCTGAATTGTGGTCAAGCAAACGTGCCCTATCCACTCGCTTTGCCATGATTAAAAGATGGAAAGATGCCTTCAAGATGAGTTTCTAAGAAAACTGGCTCGAATTTACATTACACAAAAGTGTAATTAATAATCTGAGTCAGCCGCCTAAAATATCGGCATTTAGTAATAAAATTAACAGGAAAGATTTCCTATCGAGGGTTTCGGTTTATTTGATTACGAAAAATACACTTGAGCTTAAGGGAAGGGATGCCTTCGTGGAGGACCTTCTAAATGAAGCTGGCTCGTATACACGTTACACATGGAGAAAACCGCGAAACCGCCCATGCAGCTAGCCCGTTAGCCTGAAATAGAACTCAGGTTGGAACTACCATTGTTTAGCGGCTTTATCGTTCGGTCGCTGGTAGGCTCTCCTATCGAGTGGGTAAGCTGCATTTTGATGTTATATTGCAGTTATATCCTAACGATAAAATGGGATCTGCCACTATTTTGTGAAAGAAAGCATACATTTGCGAATTAAAATTCATAAATATGTGGATAAAATGAAATGAAAATAAAAAAATAAAATTATAAGATCGAGTGGAATCATATAAATTTTAACTGAAGAGTTAAGAGAAAGTACAAAAGGGAAGGGAAATGAAATAATTAAAGGGATATTTTACATGGATTTAAAACAGAATTTACATCGGAAAATGTCGAAATTTCCTTTCTCCTCAATTTGTAAATAAATACTGTGACTCCCTATAATGTCATAATTAGAAATTCTATAAAAAATTATAAGATAGTTTTAATTGAATCTTTTCAAAATATTCAAGGTTAAACTATTATAGAAATTAAAATCATAAAATATTTGTTTAATTATTAAATAGAGTCTTCTGTAATTGTAAAATAAATGCCTGTAATGGACTAGGAAATAATTCTGGATTTTAAAAACCGTAAACGTTGTTTTGAAATTTCTCATAATTTAATTCTTTCTAAGTATTAAAAGTTTCCTTAGTAGATTTAAAGATGGACATAATCTCACATTTTTAAATGTTCAAGCCTCATCTCTGTTTCCCCGTTGGCATCGGAATCGTTATTCCAATCATACAATTTAATTTTTTATGATAAATTTTGAGGTTTATGAATGAATTCGAATGTTCATATTGTGCAACTGATTATGACCACGAGATCTCAGCTAATATGAAATTAATGATTATAAAAAACACTTTTAAGAAATTAGCGAATTGTTAGATATTAGCGAAATTCGTAATTAAAAAACAAAGCAAAACGTATATTTTTGTAGTATGACAAAATTAATTACGTGCAAAGGCGCGTTTTTACTTTTTGTGTGGTATCTTTATTTATTCAATATCATGTTCAATATCATCTTAAACCATAAAATTCAGTTCAACAGCAATATCGCATGAGCATATCTTTAGAATTTCCGATACACAGTTTCGTGCGCTGGAGATAAAAATGTTTTTCTTTTTTTCCTTTCCCTTTTTTTTCCCCTTTTTCTTTTCTAGTATTGCCATTACTCGCTACGAAATTGTTGAGTTTGTTAATCAAAAATTCGTTAAAGTGTTACAGAATATGAAATCGATAATAAATTTCAAATTTGGGCTTCCAGATGCCCATATTCAGTGGAAGATTATATTATTCAAAATTTGGTGGCTTGAGGTACCTTTGTTTTAGCACAGTGCAAAACACACACACACACACACACATATATATATATATACAGATTTTTTCTGCATTATTAAATTTCTTTAAATATAGCACAGGGCGATAATATTTGGTGGCAACAACTTGAAAAGTGAAACGGATACTTAAAGGTTTCAACGCAAAATGACAAAACGAAATTAATAAGCCTTCCTGGTCTAATGCCCTTTGGTCTAAAAACTTTGAAATTTGACAAATGTTTTTTAAAGGTAGAGATTATGACTACTTTTTGGTCTTCCGCAAATAAAGGACATGAGTTATATAAATAATTTTGCTATTTTTCCCGTTACCGAAGTTAAGTTTTTCTAAAAAAATTTTAACTTAAGGATTCCGTGAAAAATAAACCAGTGCTATATTTTCTCCTTTTGACATACGTGCGTTTATTCATCAAAAATTTCAACAATTTCACCTTCAAGAAAACCAATAATACTCACTGCTTTTAGAGAGTTGTTTTAAGAACTAAATGCTTTTAAAAAGGAATAATAATTTAGAAAGAAACAATTTTATCACTGTTTGGCCTGTTCTCTTTTAATATCATGCTGGTAAAGATAGTTTGTTAGGGGTCGAGTATGAGATTATTCCTTTTTTTCTCCTGTGACGTTTCTTGGAAATGCTCTTTAAGGGAAGCTTTTACTTTAAAGAAGTGAAATTAGTCTACTGATGTTTTGTGAGCAATGGAAGTAATAAGAAAAAATTACATTTTTCATTGCAATAAACAATTTTAATAAGATATTCACATTAATAAAATAAAAACTGATGATATCGCATAAAGGAAAAAAAGACATCATTGTACACTGGCTTCCAGAAGTTAAGCTCGCAATGCAAATTAGCAATTTTCGAAAGCGTAGTTGAATTTCAGTGACAAGAAATATCTGCGGGCGCAGATGGCATTCTGCAAATATCATATGTTACAGCCAATCATGATTGACTGACTGTCAGAAGATATGCTAATTAGGCAGTCGTTTAAGACGCCAGCATTCTGAAGGATTTGAGAAGGTTCGTTTAAATGCTCATATTAAGTGTTTATAACTTTTCGCACAGAAAGCTTGGCAGACAGATGGTGAGTGCTGGTTATGCAAGGGTTACCACTCCTTATGAAGATCGGCATTCTGCTATAGCAGCTAAGCGGAATTGATGAGTGACCTCCAGAACTGTTACATCTGTGGTTGCTATATGTGGTTGCTATATGCGTGGTTACATATGTGCTAGTTATGCCCTGAAGGCTTCGCGTAAAGTGAATGTGCTCTCGAGCACCAAGTATTTGTGTTCCACTAACCACCTAATTCAGAACAGCAAGATTCT